AACAAAGAAAATTAACATAAATAAATAGAAATTTGAATAAATACAAGATAATTAGAATAAAAAATAAATTTTTTTTGTCTTTTAAAAATATTTTTAACATTTTTTAACGTTTTCAATTATAAAGTATAGAAAAACGAATAAATGTAACATAAACAAGAAAAAATATTACACGGAAACTACGAAAATTACAATAAATACAATTGGAATCAATTGAATAAAAAGAAATTAATATTAAACATGATTATCTTGGTACATATAAAATTTCTTCTTGCAATTATATTGGATATTATAAAGTATATAACATATAAACCACACGGGAATACAAAATAACAACAATGCAAATTAAAAGAAATGCAAAGAAATTTAAATGAATAAAAAATTGAATTTAAACATGATTCTGTTGTTACTTATAAAATTTTTATACAACATAATTGGACATTTTAAAACATAGGAAAAATAGACAACAAAGGAATATAAAATAAAAACAGTGTAAATTTTAAAAAAATACAATTAAATTAAAATGAATAAAAAAACATATTTGGTAATGTATGGTGTCGATATAGGTAAAACATTCAGCGGTCTGTTTAATTCAAATTTAATGTGTCGCATGACTGGATTGGCATATTCTTTGTACAAATTTATGTCTAAAAAGTTCTTACTTTCATTCTCCAGGGCAAGTCTTATGGGTATACATTTTCTTGTAGGAGTCAATCTAAAAGTCATTTTCATTTGTGCTTGAAATATTTTGAGTTTCCAAAATCTTGGTTTATATGTTATAACCTTTGCTGATACATTCACTGTAATCTCGCAGGATCCATGGTAACTTTTAGTACATAATTCAAATATATGTGATCATAATCTGTTTTGAGAACAAGTGTATGAGTTAAAGTCACTTCTAATTTATCCATATCTTCTAGTATAAATATCTCTATTTCATTTTGTTAATATTTATACGAAGCTTACTTTGTGATGAGATCTGAACCAAAAATATTTGACGATTGACCGAAAATAGTACTTATATAACGATTGACCAAAAATCGTAATTAAATGCTCAACATTCTGTACAAATTCATCAAAATTTTGAAATTGAGCAATGTCTCCCATTTTTTGACAATTCTCCATACTAAAATTAGAATTCATTCCCTTCTTATCCCTGAAGACAGTATGAGGCAAAGAATTGAATTCTGTTGTACGATGATGAAGCATTTTATTAGGATGTAATAGGAAAAACATAATTGAACTGAGCTGCACAAATACCAGATATTATTCACATGTGCTGAAGGCCTGTTAAAGCTTGAAATATGTGCTTTTTTCACATGAATTTCTACACCAGCTTCTTTCATTATTATATTTTAGTGTTAATAGAAATCTTGCAATACAGCAAATTTAAACATTTCTGAATAATAAATTTTTAAATATTTTCTAGACAGAAATCATGCCCATACATATCAATAGCAAATAAAAAGATGCTTTTTATTTCATTGTGGAGCAATTTATATGCTGGTTGATATGTTGCAATTAATACCTGTCTTGCTCTAGAAGTAACCTTTACATCTTCAACTTTGTTCAAGTTCCGCCAATTATTTAAAATGAATAAAAAAAATTAATATTAAACATGATTTTCTTCTTATTTATAAAAATTTCTTTTGACAATATCACTGGACGTTTTGAAACAAGGAACAAGAAACAAAAAAAAATTAAAAATGAAAAATCAATTAACATTAAAACAATTGCGAAAGAATGCAAACAACAGAAAGAAAATTGAAATTAGAAATTGTTTTTTGTAATTTCAACATTTCTCTTTTAATTTTTTTGAACATTTTTAAATAAAGAACTCAAAACAACAAAGATGTAGAAATGAAAAACAATTAACATTAAAACAATTGCAAAAGAATGCAAACAACAAAAAGAAAATTGAAATTTGAAATTGGTTTTTGTAATTTCAACATTTCTCTTTTAATTTTTTTGAACATTTTTAAATAAAGAACTCAAAACAACAAAGATGTAGAAATGAAAAACAATTAACATTAAAACAATTGCAAAAGAATGCAAACAACAAAAAGAAAATTGAAATTTGAAATTGGTTTTTGTAATTTCAACATTTCTCTTTTAATTTTTTTGAACATTTTTAAATAAAGAACTCAAAACAACAAAGATGTAGAAATGAAAAACAATTAACATTAAAACAATTGCAAAAAAATGCAAAAAACAAAAAGAAAATTGAAATTTGAAATTGTTTTTTGTAATTTCAACATTTCTCTTTTAATTTTTTTGAACATTTTCAAATAAAGAACTAAAAACGACAAAGATGTAAAAATGAAAAACAATTAACATTAAAACAAATGCAAACAAATGCAAAGAACATAAAGAAAATTGAAATTTGAAATTGTTTTTTGTAATTTCAACATTTCTCTTTTAATTTTTTTGAACATTTTCAAATAAAGAACTAAAAACGACAAAGATGTAAAAATGAAAAACAATTAACATTAAAACAAATGCAAACAAATGCAAAGAACATAAAGAAAATTGAAATTTGAAATTGTTTTTTGTAATTTCAACATTTCTCTTTTAATTTTTTTGAACATTTTCAAATAAAGAACTAAAAACGACAAAGATGTAAAAATGAAAAACAATTAACATTAAAACAAATGCAAACAAATGCAAAGAACATAAAGAAAATTGAAATTTGAAATTGTTTTTTGTAATTTCAACATTTCTCTTTTAATTTTTTTGAACATTTTCAAATAAAGAACTAAAAACGACAAAGATGTAAAAATGAAAAACAATTAACATTAAAACAAATGCAAACAAATGCAAAGAACATAAAGAAAATTGAAATTTGAAATTGTTTTTTGTAATTTCAACATTTTTCTTTTAATTTTTTTGAACATTTTCAAATAAAGAACTAAATGCAATAAAATGCAATTATTATTTAAGAAAATTGAAATTTAAAATAATGTTTTTGTTGTTTTTATAAATTTCTCTTGTATTTTTTTTGCACATTTTAAAATATAACTTCATACATCTGTGAAAATAAAATTGAAAAATTAATCAATAAATTTATCTAAAATATTGAATTATTTAATAATTTTATATCAGTAAGTTTATTTTTTATCTAAAAACCATTATTTACAAATCAAGCGAAAATTATTCAGTGCATAATTATTAATTGGCTACTGTTTCATATATATTATTATTAATTTAAATAGTTTAGAATCTTCTTATACTCATATTCATATGAACTTGCAAAATATTTTAATCTCTACTCCCATTTAATTTGTTGCTTTCCCTTTGTTACGAGAATACTACCCTCCTAGAATGTATTCTAGTCGATACTTGGACAAGAATATATATATATATATATACAATCCTAATGCCCTTTAAGCCTACTCCAGTCTGCCTATATGTAAAATCTGAACATTATAAAAAACGTAATGTTTTTCTACGTTAATACATGTTTTCTGTTTTCCTGTTACTATAGCCAACACATTGATTTATAAATTGATGGTAGAAAATCATGTAAGTGTTAAGTGTAAAATACAAAAATATTCTGATTAAACTCTTACCCGAGACGTACTCGGAACAAATCAAGCAGATGTATACTTGACTCAAATGATGGAGACAAAGAGATCATTAATCAAACTGAATGTAATCAGTTTCTCCATTTTTCATGTTTCTCCATAACTTCTGTGCTGATCTAAATGTGAAAAAACAAATATAATTATTCATTGTAAACATATCTGGATTTGAATTGAGAGCGCAATATCGGCTGTGTTTATATTGATTGATTGTAAATATTACATTATTTTTTTATTTTCAAATTGAAAATAAAAAAATGTTATATTTATATATAATTGCTCGTTATTATTAATTTGATTTGTAGCTTATCTTTTCATTGGATTAGAAATGAAACTAATTTGGTAAATCGCGATGAAGCGTCAAAAACATTAGGAAGTTAAGCCATTCTCATAAAACTTACGAAGTTTTTACTCTCAAATCTCTGCGTACATCTTAATATTGTGTATAATTGATGCTGTTTGAGGTACTTCGGCTTAGCATCACACTGTATTCAGTGAGAATTGTAAATGCAAACGAATAACCGAGCTAAATCATATTTTGTTAGTATTCAAATATACAGAAACTTACCTCTTCACTGGCTTCCATGCGGCCTTAAAATAAGATCCGGCCTTTTTTAATTTCTTTGTATCTCTAATGGCACAACCAATGGTATATCCAATGGTATGTCCAATATTATATCCTATGGTGTTCGTATTTTCCATGCCACCTTCGTTTTTTCTGAAGCCTTCCTTTATTTTGATGTTTGTTGGACGACCGATAATGTCATTATTAAATTCATAGTCGTCCTGATCTTCAATTAATCGCTCACTAAAAGTATAACGAAAAAATTTGCAATGCAGTAAATATTTAAAAACTTATGGAGAAATTATAATACTCGGGAAACATTTTCTATTTTATTTCCCAAAATTTTTCAAGAAATAATCAAACTATCGATTTTTGATGTCTGTTAAGTTATGGCAACGCAACACTTTCCATGCCTTCTGATTCATGTCGGAATAACGTTGAAACTTTAATAGTTTCGATTCCTTCCGACGTTATTAAAGTTATTACTATTTTGTGGACGTGTAAGGTTTTCTCTAATTCAAATTTAAAGTTATGTGCACAACTCGTTAGTTTATGTAATTCTTATTTTTGAGATTTTTCGGTTTAATGCCGATTTCAGATGTAGACAGTGGCGCTCTATCGAACTTTATATTAATATATATAGAGAGAATGCATTTGTCTCATAACGATGTACTAATTAACATCATGACAGAGGTTTATAGTGTTTAGTGGAGCCTAAGAACACGTAACCACCTGTTCCTGTTCTACGTGTATATAAATATAGATAGATATATAAAAATTATCATCATTGTGTTACATATATGGAGTGACCATATATTCGTTACCTAAAGAAGGAGAGTTTTGAAGAATGAGAAAAACGTGTTTAATAATAACTAAACTTCATTTTAAAAATCGAGTAACGAGTTGCTTAACTTTCTTGGTAACATTTGGTGACTCCGTCCGCTATAGTATTTTACTTAAAAAACTTTTTACATTTTTAGCTATTATAAAATAATGTAAAAACTTAATTTTGAGAGTAGGGATAAGTTTTATAAAAGATTTCTAAATGCTAACAAAGAGTGAAATTGTCGTTGGATCTGACCCTACATGAGATAAGACACATAACGACTTTTATCTTTTAACCCTTTAACTTATCACCACCAAAATTTAATATATTCGATCCTTGTAATACACAAACCTCCCTAAAAAATTTCTGAAATTTCCAGCAAAAGGCACAAGAGTTATTAAGCTTCAAAGAAGATGAACAAAATCGTGCCCTCAAACACAGAGAATGTCCCCGTTCGCTTAGCGGCTCATTCCGTACTATAGTATAACACTGTATAACTGTATTATACTTTTGTCCACCTTGGACGTTCTTGTGTACTAGGATTTGTTATAGTGAGTAAAGAAAAACACAATTTTGAATTAAAATATATTTACTGTTTATACTGTTCTGTACATAAAAAAAATTTATTTGCCACTACAATCGAGCATTTCGGGTCAACGTTCCTCCTAACAGATAATTTTTCACGTTTATAGTGTATACCGATATGTATCTTTCAACATTTTCGGAATAGACGTTTGAAATGCAATTTTCTAAATTTTCCCAGCAAAAGTTTTTTTAAAATACTTTCCTATTTATTACAACACAGTTTCATTTACTTAAACATCACTAATTTCTTAAACGAATTACCAACTTTTCATCTTACGGAGAAATTATCCAGCTCACACCATTTCAGTCTGTATGAGCTTATTAAAATATAAACATAAAAAGGTAACGTCTGCTGAGAAGAAACGTTGGCCCGAAATGCTCGATTGTCGTATGATAGCATATAAGATTGCGTAACAGTAAATATATTTTAATTGAAATTTTGTGTTTCTTTTTCCTTATTATAACAAGTCTAAAGTAGAGATCCACTTTGGACTTGTTATAATCACACAAAAATATCTAAAGTGGATAAAAGTATAATATAAGTAATTAAGGACAAAAGCACGTATCAACATGATATAACCGTATTTTATATATATAACCCATTCAACAGGTGTCCGTCCTTCCGTCCGTCCGTCCCGTAACCGTTTGATAACCGACACTAGAGGCGCCCCTATCGTGTGTCATATTTCAAACATTCAAATTAAATTAACAATTTTAATTATTATTTAAATTAACAATATAAATTATTATTATTCATTTGGCCAATAAATTATTATTTGGTCAATATAACAATATAAATAATTCAGTATATTTGTAATAGGAATTTATTATTGTCACGGAATGCCTGTAATGTTCACTAGGGGGCGAATAACGAAAAACCGGATAGATTTGAACCGCTACGATAAAACGATAAGTGAAATAGTTAAGCTAATATTTTAATATAATAATAGAAACCTTTCATGGCACGACCAAAGAAATACGCCACTGTGGGGGAACGTAAAGCTGCCACTGCTGCGAGACAAAGGGAGAGACGTGCGCAGGAAACATTACAGAGAATAGCACAATCAACACGTGGAGGCTTGCAGAATGAAACTCATGAGCTCAGATCTGCAATGTTGCACAGGCAGGCAGAAGCAAAACGACACAGAAGACAAAATGTCACAACAAGGCAAATTGATTCCAAATAATTATACTTTTTTTACCAACAATGTTGTGTATACAGAAGTTTTATGATGGGATAAATGATGGAATACAGAACACAGCTAAAGAATATCTTCAGTCTGTAATACAGAAATACTATTTGCTGTGTATTGATCTGTTAACATTACTTTTTAACATGAACATTTGTATATATTTATACTTGATTTTTTAATCATATTAATTCTATTTATTTGAACAATTTTGAGTAAAGAATAGATTCACTTTCTCATGTACAAATACTGTTGGCTGTTTGTGTATTGATATTTTAAGTTTAGTTTCTAAGATGAAGAATTGTATACATTTATATATATTAACTGCATCAAACTTTTAAACATTAAGCGCACACAACTTTCATATATTAAGTGCATTAAACATGCCTCAGGAATTTGTAATGCTGCTGGAACGCCCACTAGGGGGCGTCCCGGGCTACTAGTTATATATAAACAGTGATATAACTTACCTGTTAATGCGATCGCACGTAATATCGTATAATTGCCGAATCTTATCCATTGTTTCTTTATATGCAGGATTGGTGTGATTTTTTAACATGGATTTTCCAAATTTAATTTTAGCGGGTTCATCCTGCTTCAACAGTGATTTTTCCTTGCCGCGAAATTTAAAATCCGAATTTTTTGGACTTACAAAACCCGCATGTCCATCTGATCTTGCCCTAAAAATAAAAAGAAAAAATTCATATAACACAATAAATACTAAATACAGAAAACTTTATTTTAATTTTAAAATCGAATATATAAAAATTTGCCAATGAGTAGTTATGTAAACTTTTAGAAAAATTATTATACTTTGAAAAATCTTTCTATATAATGTTTAACAAAATTTCTTATCAAACTGTAAACTAAACGTAGCCTCATTTACTTACCTCGTAAAATTTAATTAATTTGAGAAAGGAAAAAAATAAATTTATGACAATAGGTCAATAAATTTATATATTACGTGTAGTGAATCGAAAAGTCTACAGATGAAAAATAAGTTTATTAAATTAGGTTCACATAGTTAAAAACGTATTCTGCTTCCTTTTCTAAGTAACAGTAAATGTAAAAAGCCCTAAAATGTATTTACTTAGCACAAGAGCTTAAATTCTAAGTTGTTGAATTCACATGCGAATACAACGCTTTCTTTTCGACACCAAAATGTTTGTAGAATACAGCAAAACGCAAAAATGTTTGCATAAAAGCTACATTCAGAAATATCGAAGAGTCAAAATCTTTAAATCAATTTAAAGTAATTATCATTTGCATCGAGCAATTTCATTTTAAAGCCATTAATTTTTCGAATAAATCTCTTATTTGCATAAATAACAATAAAATGTGAAAAATATCTTACTCCAAACGTTCAGGCAAGGGTTGATAGTTGAAAGAATTAGAAAACATTTTTCAATTACTTCGAATGCGCACTCTTGATGATGAAAGAGCCAAACAATGTAAGATCAATTGTTGAGTTTCTTTATTACGCGTTAATTGAAGAAGAGAGAAATTTCAATGATTAATTTGTAATTTTATTTTCTATTTTTAATGTTTGAATTAGTTCCTGTGGAATAATGAATAAACGGTTATGGTCATGGCAGTAAAGGTCTTGGCCCATCTCACTGGAGAAGTTAGAATCAAATCCGGACGAGCAACTCTTTAAGAATTTTTCATGAAAGATCTACCTTAGATAGGTTGAGCACAGAACCGTCACCATTGTAGATTGGACTATACGTACCATTATGGGCATGGTTCGATCCACAATGAACAGTATTGATAGCTTTTAGAGTTTCCTACCTCAGTCTAAGTGGAAAAAACCACTCAACATTACCAGTTTTTCGGCAGTTTGCGCCTCGCCAAAAAGCTGACAACGTAGAACTTTTCGAGTTTGCTTCACGTTTGTAACACCTAAATAGAGATCAGTTTCCCACTGAAACTTCTTCCGGAAACACTCCTCTTTACATGTCGTGTTGCCATATACAACTAACGTAATCTTTTTTAATATATTCACATGGAGAAAAAGTAATATTGTTAATGACAATATTTATATATGAACCGCCATCTTGCAATAGAATTGCAAGTATGCAGTGTTGCTGTTGATGGCAGTTTAATAAATTATTGTATAATACGCAGGGAGGAATTTTTCAAAATTTTCTGTGCTAGGTAGAGAGAGCATTAACGCTTAATCTGAAGAGCAGTTTCTACTGTAGTATTTTAGATGAAATGTTTTGTTTTTAACTACATTTAGTCTTCATTATGTAGTTTGGTGTATTAAGTTGATAACATCATAGGAATTGTTATAAATATTTTATATATTTCGATTTTTTAACCAAATGTTCGAACCGTTTAAAATTTCAATTTGTTATCGCATATTGGTTCGATTATAGAATGATTGTAAACGTTGTAAAAATTGATCAAATTGAAAATTGTTCGTTTGATTCTCAGCGATAGGTGTTATATAACAATTACTATGTTTGTTGAAATACTGATTATAAATAAGGTTTGCTTGGAAATCGCAAGTAATAGCTAGTTCTGTTTATAAAGAACAAAGCTATATTTGCCAGCACGTCAATATCGGCTCTCGTTTCTCTTCATAATAATATGCGTTTATACGGTTCTTACTTATTTCGCTTCCTATCTAGAAAATGCTACGAAATAGAACACAGTGACTTGCTTCATTTATAATTTGTTAGCAATGAGATTACTTATTTACTTTTGTAATGTAAACTGTTTTCTGAATTAATTTGTAACGTATTTGTTACATTATTCTGTACATACAACATTTTTACGGTATATTACTCTATTAAAAATTTGTATTATATATTTTTATTCATTATAGTATTAAACCGTTTATATAGAAAATCTACAATATCAATGAACATTCAATCAAAGTAATATTACGGAAATCAGAATAATAATACTTTGTCATAAATTTATTAAAAAGTTTTCTTTAATTTCAGAAATATGTTATTTTTATCATAAAGAATGTGGTAGTTTTCGTAAAAAATTTTCTTTTATTCTGGTACGTATTTCGCGAAATTCAAAACTTAATCTTCAGTGAAGAAATCTATGTGCTGATTCATAAAATTTTTGCATGAACAATTGTAAACACAATATTGTTAAAATGCATATTTTTTTTTTTGAAATCTTTTCACTAAATGCTTTAACTGAGTGTAAACTATTGCAGTTGTATTGTTGACAGTTTCACCAATCGAGTCGCAACTATCCCGTAGATTCTGACATTATTATTAGTATATGAGTTTACACAAATAGTGACACGTTATTTTATGCAATAAGTAGGTTTACTTGAATGTATTGCATAAAGAGGGCTCAAAATATTTACAATCAACAAAAGAAAATTTTTCTGTAAAGAAAACTATCTATAGGAAACAATTTCTTTAATGAAGTTAGACACGTGAACATAACTGGGAAAACTCGAGGTGGTCATTCTATTAGTGACGTTCGAAACCGTGACTAACTATAAGTGTTCAACATTCTTAACCATTCGACTACTGTTGGATCTTATTGAAAAAAGTCAAATAGGCTTCACACTAAAGTAGGATTCATTCTGTATACCTATTTGAAAAGTAGTCCTATGGCTGTTCTTTTGGAAATGTATGGTATATATAGATATGTTAAATATTAGACAAAAGAAAATTAGCCCATTTTTTGTCGAGTGAATAAAACTTTTGAGCATTTGTCATCGATTTGCAGCAAAACAACGGGCTGACCATGTAAAATTTTTCGAAATTTTTTCATATTTCTGACACTTATGAAACAATTATTTATTGTAACATTGTCACAATGTCTGGCTGCGAATTTAATTATATTTATTAAAATTATATAATTAAAAATATATGCTTTCCATCTCAAAATTGTTTTGTCTTGCCTCTGTCTATCATACTTTTCTACGAGCAGTAGAGTCGTGCCGATAATCTATCTAACTTGTTTCAGGAAACATGCTAGTATTGTACTTTGTACAATAAGCTGTAAATTCCTCTCTTATTAAGTACGGTGGTTATTTTGTATGTACTCTACATCTATTCTTTTATCAAAATCCAGTAATTTAAAACCGCCAATCAAATATATTTTAAATTGTGGAGATTCTACTTTATTTCTAATAGAATTTTAATATTAAATCTTACTTAAAATAATTTTATTAAAGTATATTTAACAATTTGTTTACTTTGTTTAATAAATTATATTTTAAACTTACTAGTCAAGAAAAAGTTCAGAGAAGAGTGTTTTGGATATTTGTCCAATTAGGAGTTACAGGATCTCTGTAGTGAATATGTTTACGTTCAAAACAATTTTAATAATTTTTGTATGCCATATATTTACAGAAACAAGTAAGTAAAATATAGCATTTTTAAAAAAAATATTTTATTATAATGATAATGTTCAGGTGTCGAAATATGGCGAACGGTCAAAAATGACTCTCGAAGATTTTCTACATTTTTACAATCAAAGCACTTTGAAACATCGAAAATTGAAATAAAATTTGGAAGTAATTTTTGTATGAATAAATGTAAATACGTTTTCTAAAAAACGTAAGGAAGGAGCACAAATTTGTTTACTATGTTCCTAGTTAATTTATTTGATAGGATGAGGTCACTCAACACGTAAACAATCTGTACAGGCAATATTCAAAATTACAATTATAAATTATACATCTTAATCTTCTTATATAAATAAATTTAATATAGGGCCTTTTGCAGGCCCGATCGCCATATTAGCTGTTTATTCCCGAGTTACTGAAACAACCAACACGTTGCACGACGTCGTGTTACAAGAACGTTTAATCGCCAGCATGACTTACTCCAAACATTAAATATTTAGTTTTACAGTTCTAATTGAATTAATTAAGTTTTCTTTCTTTGATAAATTTCAAACTCAGCTAAGCACACGTCTACAATTTTAGCAAGAAAAAATAACTTGTAGAAGGAGTTCGTTTGAAAAAGAAATTTCTATATAAAAATTAGTAATGTGAAAAAGCCCGGAAAATCATCACGTGGCTAGGTGTTACCGAAGCGAAATTTTCATCTTGTGTTCAATGGTTCAATTTGCTTGCCAATAATTCATTATTCTATAGAAAAACAAAACATACTAAATAATAATTAACTCTAAGATTTTGTATATAATATTGAAAAAAATATATTTTAACATCCAAAATCAATTTTTATATGTTATGCACAGCATTCTGTGTTCGAAACTGTTATATAACTCAGTTTATTAACTGTACACTATTCAAATGATTATTCTTCATTAAAAATGTTACATGTTGTTTTACAAATATGAGAAATTAAAATAAATTAATATTTATAATTTATTTTGTATAGTAGTACTTTCTATATATTAACAGGACTTATTATACTGGAAAATAATGGATTCAGATATTTAGTCTACAGTTCAAAAATAATGTTCCTTATATAGTTCACCTGAACACATACACTTCAAACATGTGTTTCAGACTTGTTCGTCTCTCCTCAGCAGGCCTTTAAACGACACTTTCTATAATTAACAATAATCAACAATAAAAACATTTTTCGATACAATTATCACTAAAAATTATACAAAGAACATA